TCGTGAATCCGCGATGGTCGAACCGCAAAGTAGCGAGGGTTCACTGTATACGGGATCTTGCACAAAAGGGGTTTTTTTTGCGCAAAATGTCCCCTTCTACACTGCTTTTTAAATTTTTTTTGCACAAAAATCTCTTCCACAAAAAGGATCAGAAGAGACTATGCAAATGAGTGTGAGAAATGCTAATGAGCTCTTCATTTGCATTGCCTCTGCCGACAAATTCCTGCAGTGTAGACATAGCCAAAGGGAGCTACTCCAGATTTATACTGATATAATTGAGAATGTTGCTCTAATTTGTCTTGAGCAATACAAACAAGTGCATTGAATAATACAGCTATACAGAAGTGGTATTGTGGTAGTCTAAGGCTTGATATTCTGTATGGGTAGATCTAGTCAGCGGCACTATTTTGGTATCCCGAGATAACTATTCTGCGTCTTTTGAGCAAGACCGTTATTTCGAAAAACAGGCTCACTATTCTGATGTTCCTATAACCCTCTTTCCATGAGGGTTAAGGGACGTTTCAGAATCGTGGTTTATTTCAAAATTAGATGGAAATAAGATATGCAATTTGCATAGCTCAAATTGAGTATCTTATTTCGAGCTAAAGGTACAGTGTTTTTGGTGCCTATTTTTTGGCACCAAATATAATTTCAACTTTAACATTGAATTAAAGGCCAGGATCACTATCCCATGGTTAAAAGTATTTTGCTTGGTTCATAATTTGTCCTTGAATCTTTTGCTCCTCATTGGATCCATCTATGATGCTTTAGCCTAATAGAAAGTCATGGTCTTGCATAATTGTTTGTACAAGTAGCTTACTTTGTGCCATGGAAATTGGCCTTCTCTGTTTTGATCTAAGTGGATTGTGAATCTCAGACATCTACTCGGGAGACTATTACAAGACAAATCCCAGACACAGACAGCTACAGAAGGGGCAGCAGAAGTTGTAGCATAAGGTCCACAGAAAGGAAGTCTAGTAGAATCCTCAGGAACGGTACTCTGTATTCCTCAGGCAGGGGATACATTTTGAGTTATGGTCTGGATTTTTCTGTGCCACATTGCATTATAATAAAGTGAACGTAGGAACTTTGTTTTTTTCCCAGTTGCTTTCTTCAATCTCTAACAATTAAAACAGGTATTCATCAGTTTTTGAAAAATCAGAAGTCATACCATTTTTTAAAAAGACTTTGGACTCTGCATGGATTCTTGTGGAATTCACAAAATCTTACAATGTGCCTTTTTGGTATGTATTTGAGTGATAGTTTCACAGTTCCATGGAAAAAATATAATCAAATTAAAACAAAAAAATAAATCTCTGGATTTTGAATGTTCAGTATTCATCTACATACTTCATCTTAGCAAATTTGAAGAAAGACAATGAAGTCTAAATTTTAATTATTTATTGTGTACTTTTAAATGCAACAACTATTTCCTGTAGGGATCTTGCTAACAGGATTCTGTTTGCCTGAAAGACATGTCTGGTTTTATCAGCAATGTGCCAGGATAAATCAGAATTTCTACTAAAATTAGGTCATTAGTATTAATTTTGGCAGTCTCTGACTGATTTATGAATTGCCTTGCCATTTTTAAAAAGGCACTTACTAAAAAGAAACTCTGATTCAGTATGTGTTGGTGGTTACCCCTCCGTGAATCCAGTCCTCCAAGTAAACAATGTCAATTAACAAGAGTACACTCCTAAATATCTTCTTCTAAAATATCCTTCCTAGGACAACAACAGATTCTGCATCCCTGTGTGATTTGGAACTTACTAATGCAAGTAGTCCTATTAGCTGTGAGGGACTACTCGTGTGAGTAAGTGCTGCTCATTGTGAGTAATAGTTCCAGAATATGCTTCCAAATTATTACTTTAGTTTAACAAGGGTAACTGTCTCTTACATAAGTTCAGCACTTGAATATAAGCTATTATAAAGCCTTCAGAAGCTGGTTTTAGTGAATGATGTCAGTTTCTATTTTGAATCAAGGGGCATGTTTCAATGGGTTGTCACTCAGAGCTGCTTTTGAAATTATTTTTATTGATTTAATCAGTCACTTTACTGCTGGATTGCGGACATTTCTAGCAATGGTTACAATAATTGCATGTACACTACATACTTTCTCCTTTTGATGGCTAGAATTCCTTTTGATCACAGTTAAAAAACCATACCTTTTAAAATCTTGGTGAGAAATGCCTTTGAACCTGCAGATTACTGTTGCTTCTTTATCATCCATAATTTATTTTCAACCAGAACCCTTTGCCTTTTTACTAAATAAACAATCATTTTGTACTAGCTAATGTACTAGCACTTTTGTACTAAAAGGAGACAAAGTAATTGTATGTGAAGCATCAGTTTGTTTTGCTTTTTTGAAAAGCTATTTCAGAACTGTAGCCTTCAAAGAGAAATAAGCAAGCATGGTAGATTACATTTGAAAAGACTAATACCATAATTAAATGAATTATAATAGGTCTGCTGATTAATTGTATAAATGGACATTGGTACAGCATTTTCTGTATGTAGTTCTGAGTGACTTGAACTATAATTTTTGAAAGTATTACCGGGAGTAAAAGAACTGCTTGGTTTGCAAATACTCTGTAACATTCAATTATAGTTTCTTATACTATATGAAGACAGCTGTGTTTATAACGCTTTCCAAAAAAGTATAACCAGTGTTGTCTCATTTTTTATGTCATCATAAGGAAGTGTTACTATTAGAGATAATGCTTAACATTGACTGGTTAATGATATTATATACAATGAAATTATTTTCCATGCTATTTTGTTTTAAGCAAATACTTTTCCCACTTAGAAACCTGAAACCCTTTGGATGTGCATTAAACTCTGTATTGTAATTTCTTTTTCAGACAAGTGCTATTATAGGATTCTTGTATTCTTGGATGCTACTGATGCAATAAATGTAGAAACAGATTGTTTTACTTCCAGTAATAGTTCTAATTGATAAATTGTTTAATATATGTTGTATTTAACAGTTAAATTTTAGAAAGACTCTAATAATCTTAAATTGAAATGTTGTCTTGTAGGGCAGAATTTAGTGTGAAGGTCTGGGATTCCAGGATGAACTTGTACATTCTTTCAGGGCATTTTTGCAAGGGAGGTGGCTGTGTTTTAAAGGTAGTTGATAAGAGACCTGCACCACCAACCCCAGACCTGCACCACCAAACACCATCATACATTAGTCTATAGAAGGTATTTGGGTGTACATACTCCTGTACCACTCGGTACCACCATTCATCTGAGTGCAGTTTTTGACCATTTGCAGGATACATTATAAATCAGGATGTCACTACCAGACAATCAGATTTGAACATTCCTTGCATGAAGTAGTTTGCTTATATCCCTTAGGAATACATCACTCAACTGTGCTTATGTGACCGTGTTGGTATGTCTGGTTTTACATGAAAGTTGTGGTGGTATATTGTTTATTTATGCCATTCTGAATTCAAGAGTAGGTGCATATGCTTTATATTTACTAAAGTTATCTCCTTTGGATAAATCATTTAGAATCATTGAATGGTAATTTCATCACTTGATTATTAATTAAAACAGGAAATTGCTTTAATTTAGTTGTTCTAAGAGCTGATCTCTGTTACTACCTCTGTCCTTTCAGCATTGCTTGCTTATGGGTGCTGACTGAGGCTATGTGAAACTTTGTTGAACCTAATTATGAGCTATAACTTCTCAGTTTTGGGACCAGAAAATTAGCCAAATATTCATCTTCTCTTTCCCCAATGACTTATATCATGTTTCACCCAGTGATTATAAACAGTATATTTCATTCTCTTATGGGATCAAGGGACTTTATTAGATGTGTTTGGTGAGGGCCCAAATCTGCTGTAGTTACATAAGGGAGAAATAATTGTGTGATCAGATCTTTTGTCCACTGACATAACAAATAGGGTGGGGGCTTCTAGAATCTGGTTAACAGCAGGTCAGATTTTGCTCAGAGTTTTAAAGCTCAAATTCTTGTGTGTGTGTGTGTGTGTGTGTGTGTGTGTGTGTGTGTGTGTGTGTTTAAAACAAAGCTTTTTAGATGTTGATTGGAGAGCTATTCCTCTGTATCTCAGAGAGGAGGACTTTATATACAGGTTGAACCTCTCTAGTAATGACATTCTCTGGTCTGAAAACATCTGTGGTCAGACATATTATTAGTTAGCTGAATGTCCACTTACCATGGGTGTGGCCAAGTGTCTCAGTCCCATAAAGTTTGTTTACAACCACCAGTCCCAGATCTCAGTGTTCTGTACAGTTTTTTTTAAGCTCTAATTGACCCCTAAATGTCTTCTAAGAGTCTAATATGCAGTAGAAGTGTTGGTAATACTGCTACACAATATTGACCTCTCATGGTTTGGCAAATTCTCTGGTTCCGAGAGTGCCAGACTAGAGAGGTTCAACCTATATAATGTTTTAATTTTAAAAAATCTGTTTCCATGTTATGAAACCTGGACATAGAGCTGGCAAAATGAGATTTCCTCAACAGCTACATGGGTTAACCCTACAAGGGGATGGGAATGAAGATGGGAGATTGATGTTTAGCCTCTAGAAATGACATAGATAACCTTTTTACTCTTTCATTTAAGTCTCTAGAACCCGAGTTTATGAAATGAAAATGGACATTTTTTGTCATAATACTCTTCCATACTTGGTTAATCTTTCCTTGGCTTTTTTTTCTTTTACTATTAAAGATTATAAAGGAGACTATCCAACAGGCTAGTTAGAAGGGCTTTACTATATTAAGAGTTATTGCACTTGAATGTTGGGTCAGATTTGGTTCTCACATCAGGGCAACTTTACTGAAATTCATTGGACTGGCATGGATTTAACTAAATCTGGAATTTGGCCCACTGTTTTATCTGAAAAAGTATGTTTACAATGATTTCTCTTAATGTGTATTTACAATGTGAAATGTAAAATGTAGCCAGACTCCTATATCCATTCTGATGTGATGCTGTATCCAAGCTTCTTGGTTTGCTGTTTGGTTGCAGGATGTGGAAGTGGTCAGTGCACTGACTGGAGGTGTGATGGCGCAAGGGACTGTTCAGATGATACGGATGAAGCTGGTTGTCGTAAGTGGAATATTCACAGAGTTAATTCAGAGCATTCCCACTTTTTATTTTTTTTACAATATTCAGAATTATCAGATACCATGATGCTCATTGTGCACCATGCCATGATGAGGAACCCTGTTAATTCTGAGAGAGAGACACACACAACAATGGTGGCATAAAACTCCTGGTTTGATAGACAATGGCTTTAGAATCTAATTGAGACTCATGCTTCTTTAGTTCTGTAGTGTTGGTTCTATGGAAATTAGAATATTGGCAAATTTCCAGTTCAATCTTAATAAGAGATTCTGGTCACATGTTGCACTTCCCTCCAATATCTGTGGTCATACGTCTAATAAGGATATCTCTTCTGATATGTGTGGGCTCCAGTCATATATAGAAGGGTAATTGATATTATTGCAGTTAACCTGAATGGTGCACACCAGAGTTGTCAGTGTGGATACAACCTTTTCTATTCATGGCCACATGAATTCAGGTAGGCCACAAGAGGGCATCATAGACATTTAATTATCTGTATCATGTGAGACAAAAGGTTCTTGTGACTCTTGACAATGGGTGGGCAATAATTTTTGCAGGGGGGGGCCACTTAATGAATTTGGTACATGGTCACGGGCCAGCTCTACCTCCCAGAAGGGGTGGAGCCTGGGTGGGAGGGGTGGAGCTAGGGACTAGACTCCCCCACAGAGGCTTTGAATTAAAAACACAGCAAAGGGCTTGCAGCTCTGGCCTTGTCGCTACTGCATTGCCTGGCAGCTGCCCAGGGTTGCTGCAGCTATTTAAAAGACTTGTGGCTGGGAGCTAGGAGCCATGACTGGGAGCTAGGAGCCATTTAAATAGCATCCTGCTGCCTGAGCCACGACCTGGAAATTCAGTGGCACGGACAGCAGGATATAAATAGAAAGTGGCCAGATGCAGTCTGCGGGCTGGATCAAAGTGTTAGATGGGCCAGATCCATCCCCTGGGCTGCATCTTGCCCAGTCCTGCTCTTGACAGACTTCACTATGAATCACTGTGGAGATTTTTAAAATGTGTCTATTACAAATGATACAAACAGGAAGCAACAATTCCCTATTTTCAGAAAACCATCTGTTTTTGCCATCGATGTGCTGGCACTCTTCCAGGTTTTGGAACCATTTGTGGCAATTAGCTTATGTTATAGTTAGGCCAGGTTTTGTTCTTGAGTTGATTTGGGGTGAAAAGGCTAATTTACATTGTTTCCTCCCATATTGGATTGGCTCTTCTCAGCTTGAGCCCTGCAGTAATTGGGGAGTAGTTCCTGCAGCCAGACTGGTTGATTTTCTGATTAATAGGTCAGGCAAGTACAAAGCTAGGAGTGTTTTGGATGAAGAATATCTTGCATTATAACTGCCATTCTGCTAGCACTGGCCATGTCACCTGAGATATTTAAGTCTGAATGATTTCCACTGAGACAAGACCCATGGTTGAACAAACTACCGAGCAAAATTTCTATTAATTTCAGTCAGACCAGAATCTTACTCCTAGTGTGTTTGTCTAAATAAGTGAAGTTGTTTTTGTTTTTATCTTCTTACATATGACCATAAAAATAAAAGATACGGGATGGGGGAGGATGAATTTCGGTTTTGTTTAATCATTTTGTTTTGTTTTTAATGATACATAGAATAGTGATGAGGCCATATAAGTACCTACTCACATTTTAAATCGACAGTACACAAGTATATTTTTAAAATGAAACTCAAGTATTCATTTTTGTTCCTGAAGTATGAATCCAAAATATTATTTATGATGCACAGCTAAACCCTTTCCTTGAAGCTAATATAAGGATGCATTCTTCATTTATCAAGCTTCAATACAGCATCACATCACTTCTTTACATAGGTAATCCCTAAATCTCATCTCATGGGCCCTGGCTGTTGCTGGGTTAGTTTACAATGCTTGTGAACTGGCAAAGTCTAAAGATATGATCTCAGGGAGAAGCATCATTAAACAGCAAGACCCTGCACAAATAAAACTGGATGGTGTTATGCTAGTGAACCGCAACAGGTGTATTAACCAGGCCTAGGCAAACTGTTCCAGAGTTGGTTCAAACATTTATTTTGTCTCTCTCTGTGCTCCCTGTTTTTTTTCCTTTCTCTTTTTTTTAATAACCATCTATAAAGCAATCAAAAGACAGTAGAACTTAAACTGTTCCAACACCACTCTTGCATCATTAATCCACTAAGGAAAATCATGTGCTTCATTTGGAAGAGGCCTCTCCCATTAGCTTAAAAGTTTCAGGTCTTGCCCAAGAACTGCAGTCCCAGGGCAGAACGTTCTGTTCCTATTCATGTGACTACAGGTGTCTTAGATGTTTAGTTCATGCACTTGAAGTATGCTCTCCTGAATAAACACTGTGAAATAATAAATTATTTGCTTGTTTGTACTAGCACAACCTACCTGTGAGGGAAATCAGTTCCAGTGTCAGACTGATGGAGAGTGTATTCCACAGTCATGGGTTTGTGATGATGAGGAGGACTGTGAAGATGGTTCAGATGAACATCAACAATGTCGTAAGTACATCCCTCATAACATTATGCCAGCATCATGAAAGTTGCAAACCACTTGTATGTGAATATATTGATAACGTAAAGCACATATGCACACACACACAAATAAACAAGGCTAGTACAAGCATAGCAACTTTTTATCAAAGCGAAGTCTGTAATAAACAGTTGCTGAAAATGGAATACAGGGCGTCCCCTGTATGTGTTACCCTGGCATAAATCTGTTTCACACTAAAGTCGTTGATGTTTGTAGGAACTGATGTGCTATAAGTCCTCCCATTCCCTGCACTTTAAGTTGCTCAAAAATACCCAAAACAAAACCAAAGCAATTTTGCAAATGGGAGTCAGTCGTGGAAAAAAAATTCCCTGCTTTAAGTTGTTTCACTATAAGTCCAATTTTTTTGGAACATAACTTGGACTTATAGTGAGGACGGCCTGTACACTAAAATAATAATGAAATATAAAATATGATCAAATAAATCTCAATAGGCATTATTTAGGTAAACATATTCTTTCAAAATCTTTCAATAAAATAGAAAAATAATTGGCTTTCCTGCTTAAATAATAAAAAAGACAATATATATATATATATATATAAAATGAAAAGTTTTAATAAAGAATGAATGAAGAGGCTCCTAACTGAGTATGATTGAGAAGTGTATAACTGTTCACAAAATGATGTAAATTCATTATTCTGTTTTTGAAATCTGGCTGTAAGTTCCCCATTACTTTTTCCATGACTGATATATGTCTTTATTTATGGCATGGGTGTGGAACCTTTTTTGGACCAGGGGTCACTGACCCACAGAAAAATCAATCAGGGACCATATAAGTGAGAAGCAAAAAACCCCTCCAAACCTCCCACCTCTCTCTGATATGGCCCCCACCTGAGACACCTCACTCCCCTGACACTCAAGCCCCATGGGGGACAGGGAGGACTGAGGTTCAGGGTTTTTCATAGGTCAGATTAACTCTTTTGGGGTTCTGGGGTTATTGGGTTTTGTGGACCCCCCAAGCTCTGGGGTGGGACCAAAATGAGGGGTTCAGTGTGCAAGACAGAGCTGCCAGTGAGTGGGATGAGGGTGCCAGAATCTGGGCAGGAGATAGGTGCAGGAATAAGGTCTGGGTGGGAGGTAGGGTGTAGGAGTAGGCTGGGTGTAGGGTGTCTGGCCAATAGGAAGGGGGCAGGAGCATGGGGGGTATGGTATCTGGTCCAGGAGCAGGGTGTAGGAGCTGGCTGGGGATAGAGTGTCTGATGGGGGGGCAGGAGCAGGGTGAGGATAGAGTATCTGGCTTGGGGGGAGGATGCAGGAGCAGAGTAGGGGTAGGTGTCTGGCCAGGAGGAAGGGTGCAGGACCAGGCTGGGGGTGTAGGATCTTGGTGGGGGTCTGTGTGAGGGGGATGGAATGCAGGGTCTGGGCATGAGGTGAAGGGGCCACTTACCTGTCTTTGCACCCCCCACTACTCCCAGCCACCATATAATACGGCCTCCCACTGCTCCCATTGTTCAGAATCTGGCATGGAGATGCTTCTTCTCCAGGAGCCGGATTGCACAGCGAGGCTCAGGGCTTTCTCACTCCCCAGCAGGAAGCTAGCACTGGCATGCTCCAGCCTTGTGGGTGTGTGTGGTGGAGTGGAAGGGGAGGGAAGGCATGAGGCTAGAGCACCAGAGTGGGCTGCCTGCTGAGGGGAGACTAAGGGGAGACTTGAGCTTGAGCCGCAGACCACCTGCAAGGTGTCCACGGATCACAAGTGGTCTGCGTACCCCCACTTTGAGAATCACTGCTATAAAGTCCTGACATCTGCTGATAGTCTTATGTTCCATTATCACTTAGTTATCTTAAAGCTACTACATAAGTACTATTAATATTTCCGTTTGAAAGGGAAATATTTTGATGATACTTTAGATATGAATCACATATGGATTGGCATATGCTACCAGAACATTTGTTGTTTTTTAAGTTTATCACATATGGAGTGGCATTTATTAATAAGTATATTTAGTTTCCCCTTTCTTTAGTAAAATAAGTTATTTAAAGTATAATAGCTTTACACCAGTTTCTTTTCTCAGTGTTAATGATAAGGTATGAAATATTGTAACTACCTGTTTGAATTCAGTAAGTGCGTAATCTGTAATGAAAGAGGTGTTGAGGCTCAAGCAATCAGACAGTGTAGCTAATACATATCAGTTGTGTTTATTCCATAGAAACAACCAATATGGGTGCCTCTACACAGCAGGGCTTAACTCAAAATAAGCTTCACAAATTGAGCTCCGTCAATTGTGTAGCTTATTTCCAATTAACTTATTTTGAAATTGGGATTCTGAGATCTCAGTCAGGACTGGGAATCCTATTGTGCTGGGCAGACTACAAACCGGCCCTCAGCATGGAAGACTAATTGGAGATGGGTCACATGATCCATGGCTATGCAGATTAAGTGCTCCGAAGCCCTGGGATGTGTTGGAGCATTATAGCTGTATGGCCTGCCCGTTGGTTGGCAAGTGGCTTTTATTCCAGTCCAAGACTGAGTAATAAAACAGGGAAAAGGAGAACTACTTTGTTGCATGTAGATCCCTCACTGGTGAAAATCTAAATTAACTGTTTCTTACAGCGGGGAGGACATGCTCAACTCAGCAGTTCACATGTTCAAATGGACAATGTATCCCGAATGGTTACATATGTGATCGAGTTAAAGACTGCACTGATGGAACAGATGAGAGAGGCTGCCGTAAGTCTTTTAAATCTTAGCACTAGATCTGGTTTCATCCCATCTCTCTTTGGCATTTTAATCAATTTGTAAGATTAAGGGGCTTGTTGATGGACAGAAATGACCACAATATGCTGCTTGTTATCAGAATTTCATTGCAGATTCTTTCATGGATTAGAGCTGATATTCTGGTACAGTTTCATTATTGTGGGACTTATTAAGTCCCTATTACTGCCTTATGGTTGGGGAATTTTCATTTGCCTGTCTTAACAATAATAAAGTTTTCATTTTAAAACATCTTTAAAATATTTTAAAACTTTGGAAAATGTATTTTATTTATTTTGCATGAAAACTTTATAATCAAACCTTTGTATAGCTCTCAGTGGGATTGTAACTATTTTCTAAAGATGGAATTGGCCCCAGGAATTTAATGTGTCTTATTTTTAAGTCAGCCACCTGAAAATGTAGTTTTCCTATTTTTAATTGAAAGTTACATATTAAGTTTAACTGTACAAGTAGTCAATAGAAAATTTGTAAAAGGTTTGACCTAAGGCAGGGAGCATTGGCCTCCCAGAGGTAGCTTGTAGTGGTCCCCATCCCCAGCACTCACTGGCTGGGGGGAGAGGCCCTCAGACCTGATGCTCTGAATGGCCAGCTCCAGAGTGCTGGGTGGTGTGCCTGCAGCACTCCTGGCCCCAGTGCTCTGGGCAGCCTGGTCATGTAGATGCAGCACCCGAGATCTGGTGCTCCGGATGGCTGGGTGGTGCCCCAGGGTTGGTTCTGCATGTGGCCAGCCCCAGAATTCCAGGCAGCACAGTCCCACCAGTGTGTGTGTGGGGGCACTCCGCAGGTGCAGAAGGGGTGGGGCCTCATAGAGAAGGGGTTGGCGCTGGAACAGCCAGCCCCCCCCATGCCACCTGGACAGCACAGTGCCCTGTCACCTCTCTGCAGGCCTTCGGAGACAGCTGGAATGCATGGCACGGGGCTCTGTCGCATACCACATGGTGCTCCCGCAGTGACTCTAAAGAGCCCAGGCTTCTGTCCACTGCCTCTGCCACAGTAGCAGTGGCTGGGAGCCCTGGGCCCTTTAGAACTGTTGGTTCCTGGAGCAATTGCCCCCTTTGTCCTCCTTGTCAATGGGCCTGCAGTACCAGCACTTCCCATACATTAAGTGTGCAGCTTGGCCCCAGCACCAGCTGCCCCAAGTCCCTATGGGAGACAGGTCAGGTGTCCTGGGCCAGCCAGGGCAGAGCATTGGGAACTGAAGGAAGTAGCCTGGCCTTTGAGTGGAGCATGTGCTTGGGTGTTTGGGAAGGCACAGTCTTCCCTGGCCTAGAATACCTGCTTCCCATGTGCAGGATTATAATCTAACTGTTGGCCTGAGGAGAAACCTTAGCCCCATGGAAGTCATAGAATCATAGAACACCTAGAACTGGAAGGTCATCAAGTCCAGTCCCCCTGCCCTCATAGCAGGACCCAGCACTGTGTAAATCATCCCTAGTAGATATTTATCTAACCTATTCTTAAATATCTCCAGTTATGGAGATTCCACAACTTCCCTAGGTTATTTATTCCAGTACTTAACCATCCTGGTTAAGTTGCTGGTCCCCGAATTGCGAACGGTCGCGTTACAACCATTCGCATTTATGACCAAAGCTCCCATGGAATGGTCGTAAAGGTGGTCCCCGAGTTACGAATGCGACCCGCACTTATGAACAGTGTGGTTGCTATGTAACTCAATGGGGTCCGAGTTACGAACAGATCGAGTTACGGCCAAGTGTTTGGTTTGTAACTTGTTTGTAACTCGGGGCGAGGCTATAGTTAGGAAGTTTTTCCTTATGTCCAACCTAAACCTCCCTTGCTGCAGTTTATGCCCATTGCTTCCTGTCCTATCATCAGAGGTCAAAGAAAACAATTTTTCTCCCTCCTCCTTGTAACACCCTTTTAGATACTTGAAAACTGCTATCATATCTCCTCTCAGTCTTCTCTTTTCCAAACTAAACAAGCCCAATCCTTTCAGTCTTCCCTCATAGGTCATGTTTTCTAGACCTTTAATCATTTTGGTTGCTCTTCTTTGGACCATCTCCAGTGTTTCCACATCTTTCTTGAAATGTAGTGCCCAAAACTGGACATAATGCTCTAGCAGAGGCCTAATCAATGCGGAGTAGAGCGGAAGAATTACTTCTTGTGTCTTGCTCACAGCACTCGTGTTAATGCATCCCAGAATCATGGGGTTTTTTGTTTGTTTTTTGCACCAGTGTGACATTGTTGACTCTGTTTAGCTTGTGGTCTGCTATGACCCCTAGATCCCTTTTGGTAGTACTTCTTCCTAGACAGTTGCTTCTCATTCTGCATGGGAGTTTTGCCATTGACTTCAATTGGACCAGCTTTACACCTCTGATAATATCATGGGGAATGGAGAAAAAGCTTTATATGCAGGGTGGGTGAAGGTGAAGCCATTGGAATGTTGGATAATTACTGTGCACTTAGGAGGAGACAGATTATGGGAAACAGGATAGAAAGGGATACGATAGAAAAGGAGATAGTGAATGGGAGAATGAGAAACTGTGGGAGTGAATGGGTCAGGATTAGGGATTTTAACTATCTGGTAATTGAATAGTCGAGTAACCGCATGGAATTCTTATCAGTTACTTGACTATTCTATAGTTCCCGGGGGCAGGGCCGGCAACCAGTGCAATACGGCCCCACTCCTGGAGAGCCCCCTGCCATCCCACGCTGCTGCCTCTGTATTAAAAACCAGCTCCCCACACAGACCGACTGCCTGCTGACCCATGTTGCTGCCTCTGATACAGAGCCATCCGTGGAATGTGGAGCAGCATTTCTCTGCGGTGAACCTGGGCCTGCTGTGGGCAAAGACTGCTTCGTGGCAGCCTTTCCTGCCTTCCCTGCTGCTGCTTCTAACAGAGGTAGCAGCATGTTGGGAGGCAGGTGGCACTGTGGAGCCAATGCAGGGGGGAAAACAGCTTTTAAACCGGCTCCCTCCAGCACTGGCTTCTGCTTCCCCATCCTGTACAGAGACGGGGGAGGGGGAAATCCTAGTAGACAACAAGATTAACCGATAAGCCTAGGCTTAGTGGTTAATAATATAGTTGACTACTGTGACGGCGCGTTGGGGTTTCCCCATCTCCTGCACCCCCGTAGTGGCACGAACAGACTCCACCAGCCAGTAGAATAGAGGGAGTTTATTGCTTCTCCAGGATACAGCACAGATGTAATCTCGTTACAGGGCAGGCCTAGGATGCCTCAAACCCCTTGAGATATGGGAGACTGGGCCCCTAAATTCCAGCCCCTTCCCTAAGCTGTCTCCTCCATGATCCCAGACAGCAACTAACTAACTATCCCTTCCAGCCCTGCCCCCCAGCCAGGGGCGGCATTCCACCTTCCTTTGTTCCTCTCCCTGGGAGGTAACCGGTAGAACAGGTAACCTCCCTGTACCATCAGCTACTCTGGTGGGCCGTGGTACAGACAGCAGCCAGTGGGGGTCACCCACAGCCCGAGCCTAGCAACCAGCAAGGTACCCACACTACGTCACAACTGCTCGTTTACATCCCTAGTCAGGATAGGCTGGGACTGAAGGAAGACAGTTACCATAGAATCATAGAGCTGGAAGAAACCTCAATTATGCACAGGGAAGAACAAAGTATGCATCACCAGTTGTGCATTAAAAGGTTGATAGGAATAAATGGACCCTTTGGTATAAAAACATATTTTTAAGACAAAAAAGATAATTTAAATGTAAATATTATCAAAGATTTACAGATAACGTAATTTTAGCTAGAGGGAAAACTTATCATGTGTATTAATAAAAATAACACAATAAAAACCTCAGAATTTGGCTTGCAACATTTGCATGTACAACCATTGTGAATGCAAATCCTGAAATGTATACATGCAAATTAGTTAAGTGTATGGACCGTTGTTAGTTATGAGTAGGGCCCCACCAAATTCATGGTCCATTTTTGGTCAATTTCACTGTCATAGGATTTTTAAAATAATGAAACTTATTATTTCAGCTATTTAAATCTGAAATTTCACAGTATTATAATTGTAAGGATCCTGACACAAAAAAGAGTTGTGGGATGGTTGCAAGATTGTTGTAGTGGGGTTGCAGAACTGCTACTCTTATTTCTGCCCTGTTTCTTGCTGAACTGGGCCCTCAGTCAGCTTTGAATGGTGGCTACTGTCCAGGAGTCCAGCTCTGAAGACAGAGCCACTGCCAGCAGCAGCACAGAATTAAGGATGCCATGGTACAGAGGCATGCCTGGTATCTCCATCATTAGAGATTTTTAAGAGCATGTTAGACAAACGCTGGTCAGGGATGGTCTAGATGCATGGAAATGTGGTATCTATCCATCCATCTGTCTTAGGCTACATCTAGACTGCAGGCTTCTTTTGGAAGCAGCTTTTTTCAGAAGAGATCGTCCAAAAAAAAAAAAAACCTTTCTTTCGAAAGAGAGCATCCACACTGCAAAAATACATTGAAAAAGCCATCTGCTTTTTTGAAAGAGAGCATCCAGACTGAATGGATGCTCTCTTGCATTTCCTCTTCTTCTGAAAGAACTCCCTCTTCCCCATCCACACATGCCTTTTTGCGAAAGAGCTCTATCGCAAAAAGTCTTCTTCCTTGTAGAATGATGATTACCGATGCCAGAAAAGCCCCTTTGTTCTTTCGATTTTCTTGCAGAACGCAATTGCAGTGTGGACGTTCCTCAAGTTTTATCAGACAAACGGCCATTTTTCTGACAAAACTCTGTAGTGTAGACATACCGTTAGTGACAGTTGCTCTCTAGGCACCCTGGAGACAGTTTCTTGTCCTTGGGATGTGGTCTCAGTCATCTAGCTACTCTTGAGGACTAGCTCACTGTTCAGAATGTTTCCTCTGTTCTAACATTGCTTCCAGTTGGCTCAGGTAAGTCTTGCTACATCACATGAGATCTAGACGCTGCATAGATGTATAGGCACAAACATATTCACTAAGATATATAACATTTTTAGTGAAA